CCCACACATGCGGCCAACCTCCCATGTTCCAGTTTGAGCGCATGTGCAATGGTGGTTCCGCACGTGCGGCTAGGCCCTCCGCACGTGTCAATTTTCAGGCCAGCATCCGTTTCGTTTTCTCTCCATTTTTTCAATTTCTCGGCTTCTATTTGCATGGTTTTCATGTGTATTTCAAATTCATATGCATATCATGAACACAAAATAAATTAAAGAATAAATAGAAATAACTGAACGAACAAGTAACGAATGAACCGAATAGGTTTAAGAACTAACAGGATGAATTGAACGTGTTATGAGATGTTGTGCCTGAATGTGTTTGTGTGGGTCAAACGCTGCATTCTAATCACGTGATTCAAGGAGTCAACTGTGAGTAATAACCTTGTAAAGATTTGTTTGAATTCTAAGTATTTTTGAATTATAAAATGCTCTATTTCTGAAATGATGCTTTCTGACTGATTGAATGATTATCCTATTTATGAAATGTATTCGTGGCATCCATAGCATCTGTTACTGTTACTGTTACTACTACTGTTACAGAGATCTCTGTCAGTTCCAATTTTTAGAACTACTGTTTACTAAATTGATGGCCATTATATATGACTATTTTCGTTTTCTAAGACCTATTGTATTGTTCTGCTAATGGATATACCACATATGACTGCTACAATTTCAATATGATTTGGCATACCATGAGATACTGATTTGATAAATTAATTCATTGATGAAATTGAATGTTTTAAATTACGGAAAGGGCATCATTCATTACCCCTTTGCACCGTTATTATTCACTGGGCTCTAACTCACTGTTTTATATATGTATGTAGGTGATCAAGTGCAAGACCGAACTTAGTGGTGTTAACCTAAACTCTGCTTTTTGTCAAGCCAACTTATGTGCCTCACTGCGAGGTTCCAACCGGGTTAAGCTTTCTAGAGTTCACCATTTTGTCTTTATAATTAAGTGTTTTGAAATGTTACCGATATTTGTTCTGAATGTTATTTTGACTGTTTCATTTGTTATTAGGATTCAATCCCTAGATTGTATTTTGTGTTGTACATAAGCTTGATCTTCGACTTATGTGTACATATATATGTATATCAAAGTTTATCTTGTTCCATTTAACTCTACACAGCTCATTGAATGTTATATTTTATTATTTATAGGCTTCCGCCAGCCATTATTATTGTATTACTATTAAGCAGGCCTTTGGTAATCTTGGATTACTGGCCGGCTACTTCTATAATCCCTTGGGGTGGAGGTTGGGTCGTGACAGTTTGTGAAAGAAAATGGAATGAATATGCATGTTGATAATGATGGTGGAGTTGTATATGTAATATCACTCCCATTTTGAAAAAGATGAGATTATATCTTTTGTTGGAAATTATCTGTTGAATAAAAATATCTGTTTTGGGCTATCGGTGGAGGATAACTTTGATTGTTGTAGAAATTGCATGAGAATTAGGTGAATTGAAACTAATTACTCATACATTGGGCATTGAGCATTATTGCATACTTAAACATTGAAAATGTATTATTTTGAGAAAAATTGGTAAATACCTTGGGGAATCTAGTTAGGAGGTGTAGTTGTGGTTACTATGTTGGCCTGTGTGTCCTTAGTAAAAGTTTAGAAAATCGTGTGGTTTGGTGCCAATCCTTCCGGTTAGTACCGGTAAAATGGCTTTGATAATGCTTGTATAGCCTACTGGCAGATACATACCAAGAGATTCCCAGTGTTTGTATCCACTGCCCTATTTTCTAATATAAAAAGGTTATTTTCATGAATTGATATAATCTGGTATTATTTTGTTTTGAGATGGAAATGTGAAATGTTTGACAAATAGCATGTATATTCATTTACTTAATGACTTTGTTAAGATTCATATATTGTGTTAAAGTATCTCTACTAGGTTTTAGCTCACCCTATGTGAAAAATAACTTTCAAGTGTTGATGATATGCCTCTACCAAGGATATAGATTGAGAGGACTTGGAGCCAAGGACTTCATTTTATTTATTTTGATGAAATTATTAAAGTACAAGCATGAGCTTTAATTGTATTGAGATGAACTCATTTTGACGTACCATCGACTTGGAAAGACGTAGCCACTAGGGCATATAATTATTCGATTTTACTTTTATTTTAATTCATGTATTCATATCATATGTTATAGATTCAGGATCTAGAATATATGAATGTATACACACGTCATCTTTTGTATGATAAATGATTATAAATGGAATATAAAATATGATGTTATTGATCAATTGTAAGGAATATTATGAGATGGGTTATTTTTAATATTTCGGGACGTTACATTTACCATTGCATTTCATAGTCATATAGCCAAGTTTGGCATCTCCCCAAAAAGTCAAAAAATTACTCAAAAAGTTAAAAAGTTATCACTATTCACCAAAAAAAATTAAAAACTTAATTTTTCACACAGTTATCACAACTCAGCAATCATGTTAAGACTGCACTGTGCAACGCTTGTTAACTTTTGTAGCACAGTTTGGGTGTAATTTCCACACACTGCTGTTCGGTCCGTGGGGGTCCATCACGGGCCCCATTTTGATCATCTGAACCGTTCAATATGTAGAACTCGTCGAGTACTATATGCCTATAAAAAATTACGTTGATCGGATATCGATAACTATATGATCAAAATCTCTTCCCAAATCCCCCAACCAAACACAGCATAACAAAATCAAAAGATGGGATAAGGATTAACCTTACAAATACTAACAATTCACACTAGACGAATCGAAGCCCATTCACCAGGAACAGCCGCAAATCAGTCAAAAAGTTTTGCTACGTAGATGCCGATCCACACACCATTGAAGAGCAGCCAAGCAGGTAGATGCCTATGCAAACACCATTGAAAACCAGCCAAGCAGGCACGGGCATGGTAACAGAAGCAGCCCGGAAATAGAAAGTGACTCGGCACCATTGAAATCGTGAACTACCAAAGCAGCACGAGATTATGAAAACCATGTTTCTTGTTCTTTTTTAATTTTTGGTTCTTTTATTTTACTTTTTCATTAAAAATAAATAAATAAAAAATAAACTTGTATGGTTCTGTTTTTTATTTTTGATTTTGATTTTTCTTTTATTTTTATTTTTTATTTTTATATAACCCACTTTCTAAGAAACATATATAAGTTATTTTTCAATTTTTAAAAATTATTTTTGCACTAAAATTAATTGTGTTTCAAACATTTATTAAGCATTTACAAAATATATAACACTAATTTGTATAATATTTTTCATATATATTACACAAACTAATTTTACATAATATTTTTTCATATATATAACTACTAATTTGTAATAAATTTCACATCTTAAATCTCTCACTCATTTTTACTTTGATATTTTATTAGAGGTTAAATATATATATATATATATATATATATTAACTATAATAGAACGGAGCGATTTCGAAAGTGAATTATAAATTTTAAAGTTTAATCCACAACTAACAAATAAAGCGTTACAAATTGATACCGATTGATATGATTTTAACAAATTTGATAATATTTTGCATAGTCATAATAATTATTATCATCATCATCATCATCATTTTTTTTCTTTCTGAAAACAACACAATCAACCAGACTCCCTATCTAAAAAAAAAAACAAACAAACGAGCTCATTACAATTTCTCCTCAGTTTTTGGATGCATTGATAAAAACAAAAACTATTTTTCACTGTCCTCTTTCTTTTTATTTTTCTCTTCTAATCTCTTCACAAACTCAAAATTCAAACACAGCATTAGGGTTGCGTTTCCTAGGAGAGGAAAAGAGTAGAGAGATTTGCCAAGACCCTTGCTGTTTGGTTCAATATAAATCATGAAGTTATGTTTGATTCATGAATTTTGGAATAGATTTGGAAAGAGAAAAACAAAAAGTGTGTGAAATGTAATTATATTTTATTCACATTTCACCTACTTTTTTCTTTTTCCTTTTCAAATCATTTTCTAAACGCTAAACCTTAAAATCATTCGGCGAGAGGATAGAACAAGGCATCTACTGATCTACTAATGGTCTTTCTTTCCCTCCTAGGGCCAAATGGGTGCCTAATGTAAAGTAATCAACTTTCAATGGATGAAGTGTTTGGATGAAGTGTTCTATCAGTTTTTTTTTTTTTCTTTATCAATTGATGAGATATAAATCATAAATATTATGAGACAACGAACATTTAATTGTGAATGAAAATCCACCGAATAGCTATAATCTTACAACAAACTCAATAAACAGCAAAAGAAAAAAAAATAAAAATAAAAATAAAAAATATACAGATTAAGCAGAAAGAATTGAACTTCATAGTGAGTTACAAGGGCTATTGGACAACAGTTCTAATAGGACATGTTTGATTAGTAAGATTATAGCATAAGATTGGAATTATTAGTCCATGGAGTCACAATCTTATGTTTGATTGCAAATTTTATTAACTGGGTTACATAATCAATCCCACAAAATTGGCAAATTTTTACTATTGAGAGGGACTAGATATATCATAATTTCAAGTATGAAAGAAAAATAAAATAAAATAAATACATAATGAATTATTATCTCACTAATTTAATCGGATAACTAATTCTACTATAATTCATAGGATTATTAATCCTTTCACTATTAATCATGTTAATCAAACAAGGCCATATGGTATTATATTGGTTACACTTTTGTATCAACTTACACAGCAGCTTGCAAGGGCTAGTTCTATCCAGCAAGTCTAGGAAAAAAATTTCCAAAAAGTTCCCCAAATGCAGTTCGCAACATAGCATTTATCTTGGATGGATCCAAACTGCACCATGACTCAACACAAGAAAATTTATGGCTTTGTAGCATTACTGAGTTTTATCTAGCAGATTATCATGTAACAGGTTCGCTGTAACACAACGAGTTTTCACTACACTTTCGAAAACAATTAACAAGTTTTCACTCTAAATAAGCACGGTGGCAACTCAGTTGCCAAATTACCAATTATGTACAAGTTGGGCAGGTTCCAAGTTTTGTATCTGCTTAACTTCATAACATAGCATGACTATCAATTGAATGGGGTAGCAGCTAAGACCTCTGAGAGTCATACATGCAAAAACAGAATTCAATAAAATAGTTGAAGTCAAATTTGTAAACTACACATAAAGCACACCAAATTTAATTGACATCACCTTCATCAAATTCTTACAACAACATATTAAACAATTCATATCTTCTGAACTCGCTTTATTTCAGAACTTACATGCACATAAGCTTCTTTCTTGTGCCAAATTTTGCAGCTGAGAGGAATTTACTTGCTGATAGCTCCAGCATCAGTGAGAACGGGAACAAGTTCACCCTTTTGGTGTTTTTCCAAAACCACTGCAATACCAAGAGAAAGATGAGTATCCCAAGATTGAAGTTAAACCATCTTATTGCCCTCTAATTTAGCAGTCACAAACTATATTACTAGAAATCTGAACATAAGAACGATTGAATAATCAGCCTTACTGTCACAGCCGCCAACATGTTTTCCACCAATGAACACATTTGGAACAGTCGTCTGCCCAGTCCACTCTGCTAGGGCTGATTGCGTCACACTTCCATCATCTTTGAAGAATGATTAACAAATTCATCAGATTTTTAATCATATATAGCAAAGATTATTAGTTGTTAAAGAATTTAAAGCATAACACAATTAGCAGTTCCTCTAGGCTGTGTTTGGATCAAAGATTTTGTGAAAGATTTCTGAAGAGAAAAGAAAAAATGATGGGATGAGTGTATGAAATAGAAGATAAATTTTTTCCATTTTTCCCTTCTCAATTCCACACTCAAATCCTTAATTCACATACAACCTTACATAATTTGTCATGTGGGCAGAAACAAATGATCAGTGTGATCTGCACAAAATTCTGCACATCAAATACACGTAATAATTTATAAGGCAGTTCATGTCTAAAACCAAACCAAACCAAACCAAGCCAAGCCTTAAGTTCCATCAAATAGGGTCGGCTATATAAATCCTTCTTCTCGATTCGGCTCTATCAAGGGCTATTTGATTAGTCAAATTAAGGAGGTTCATTTCTCTATTTACTACACTATTCCATGTCAATCTAGTTTTGTCCCTTCCCCTAGAATTTCCATCTACCGCAACTATATCGCATCTCCTCACTATTGACTCTGTTAGTCTCCATTGTATATGACCAAATCATCTCAATCTATTCTCTCTGAACTTGTTTTCTACCGGTGCTACTCTTATCCATTCATAAATATATTCATTCCTAACTCTCTTCTAATCTTGCCACACATCCACCTTAGCATCTTTATTTCAGCAACTCTCATCTTATCTACATGTTATTTCTTAGTTGCCTAACATTCTGTCCTATACAATATCGCTAGTCTAATAGCTGTTAATGCAGGACAATTAGGGACAACGTTGGATTTTGAAAACAAAGATTATTTGATGACCTAAACAATGAGTAATTTAGAGTTTCAAGGGTTAAATTGAAGACTAATAGATAGGGGAAGGGATTAGGGTTGATTTGGGGTTGATTGGCTGGAGTTTTGAGATTGAAAAGTGCACTTTTAGAGGGTTGTGAATAGTAATTTAAGAATAGTAAATTGAAACAGAAAAGGAGAAAGAAGAGAAGAAGATAGGTCTAGCCATCGCACCTAGATTCCATAGGCATCATATTTAAGGTTTGATTGCATCACACAATTCATAAAGAAGTTTCAAAACTTTTTTATTTTTTATTTTTTATAAAATATCAACTCTATTGAATTACAAGCATTACATGACTTTATATAAATTTTTGAGACTTCCTAAACCAACTAGAACAAAAAAAAGAAAAAACTACTATAATATCTTAGACTCCCAAACATTAATTTAAGACCAAATAAGAAATATAAATAAAACTCAATTAAATAACTTTACCCCCAACATGACCCACGAGCGACCCCTACAACCTATGACAACAATAATGAAAATTACCAAAACACCTTTGGCCTAAAAATTCTAGAAAACATAAGAATAATCATAAAATAAGACTAATAATACTAAAAACATTATTATATAAAATTCCTATTAGGATCTCTTTGAAATCATTTTGAATTTAGCCTTCCTGGAGCTTTTTTATATTCTGCATCATTCTCCCTTGGTTGGAAAAAACTTGACCACGAGTTTTGAACTTTTGAAATATAAGCATCCACAAGCTTTGAAATTGCACCCACAGCTTCATGCTAAAATCTTTAAGCTGTCGCCGCATTTTGTTTGTTGGAGATAGGAACAAAAATATTGAGAAATTGATCTTGTCCTTCATGTTACTAATGATCTTGTCCTTCATGACACTAAATACGCCAGGAATGACAAAATCAAAAGAACTAAAACATCCTTGAATTGATCCAAATCTTGGGCTGCAAAATTTATTATGTGCAATCTGTTCTCATTTGGCTCTGCAAGGCAGTGTGCGTAATCAATTTGAATACTTCCACCCACATTATTAATTGTGGATTCCAAACTTTCATCCTCTTTTTCAACCAATGTTTCATCATGCAGTTCAACATTACCATCCCATTGGAAAATATCAGAATCTATCGTAGAGAATTGAGGCTGCAAATTGTTGGCTTGTAAAGCCATATCAGGATCAGTATCAACAACTGGTTCATGTAATCTTCAGTCTCTACAGGTTGAGTGGCCCCTGAATCTTCTATTCGGACAATATGCATAATTGTAGGATCCGAAAACAACACTCTTGGTTCTAAATTAGACTCAACCAATAATTTATGCAGATCTAAAAATAAATCTGGTTTGGACCAGCAGCTTGCTCCTTTGACTCTGCAATCACGGGTGCTATAACACATGAAATATTGGATTCATTGCCTTGTTCGTAGGCCCCTTCAACAACAATTACAGGATATTGCTGGATTTCTTCTGAATCATCAATTAGAGTCTCATTATCCTTCAAAATATGGTCATCTTTCACCTTAGAAAAATTCTGAACATATTTATCGACTTGCAACTTCAATTGTGTAGGATTTTCATTCCCAAGAATAATATTTGGCTTTAGTGCATCTTGTTGTAGCTTTTCAGCATCTTTTTCTAGCACTTTAACTCTTTGTTTTGGAGTTTCTATTGGTTTGTCTTGCTAGACAGTCTTTGCATTATGCGTAGGCTTCAAAACTGTGGATTTCTCCTTAAATTTTACAAAAACTTCAAATTGTATAGTTGTTTCAATAGCATCTTAGAAATCTTCCAAATATGCATGAGACATCTCTTTTTTAATTCCAAATCTCAATCCACTTTTGAAACGAGCAATAGTCATCAGTTCCCTCTCAACAACTCCAAACTTGATAAATAACTCCTTATATTAATCGCACGCATATTACATTGCTCAAGAGTATACAATTGATCAAGAAGATCATATTAAGGATCCCTTAGACGAAATTTTTCTCTAAGAAGCACTTTACCCTCTTCCTAAGGCAATCCACTTGTATAGGATCTCCCACAATGTGAAAACATCATCGTGAAACCTTAAGCTCTGTTGCCAAACTGATGCAGGATGATTAGGGACAGCGCTGGATCTTGAAAACATAGGTTATTTGATGGCCTAAACAGTGAGTAACTTAAGATTTCAAGGATTAAATTGAAGGCTAATACGTAGGGGAAGGAATTAGGGTTGATTTGGGGTTGATAGGATGGAGTTTTGAGGTTGAAAAGTGCACTTTTAGAAGGCTGTGAATAGTAATCCGAGAATAGTAAATTGAAACAAAAAAGAAAAAGAAAGAAGATATAAGCCTAGACCTATTCTTTTTTGTTTCTAATGCCTAGAACGGCTGATGAGAGCTTTGAAGCACATATCTTCTATTTTGTTTTTCAAAGCTCATATTTTATATTTTATTTTTACATAAAATATCGACTCTATTGAATTAGAAACATTACATGACTTTATATAGACTTTAAAAACTTCATAAACCAACTAGAACCAAAAAAAGAAATCACTATAATATCTTAGACTTCCAATAAGACCAAATAATAAGAAACATAAATAAAACTCAATTAAATAACTTGACCCCCAAGATGACCAATGGGCAACGCCTACAACCCATGACAACAATAATGAAAATTACCAAAATACCCTAGGCATAAAAATTCTAAAAAACATAAAAATAATCATAAAATAAGACTCTAATAATACTAGAAATATTGTTATATAAAATTCTTATCAGAATCTCTTTAAAATCATGCCAATGTCTAAATATCATCTCTTTTTTGAATTCAACCTTGCTTGAGTTTCTTATATTTTGCATCAGCCGTTCTATAGAACTTTTCTTTTAATCTAAATAGGTATTCGCTTATCACACCGTACTCCAGACGCACTACTCCACTTGAGCCAACCCGCCTTAATTCTATAGACCACATCTTCTCTAATCTCCCCATCTATTGTAATAATCGAGCCTAAATAGTGAAAATATTCACTCTTAGGTAGTTCTTGATTCTCAATTTTCACTTCTTCTTTGTTTTCATTTCTAAAATTACACTCTATGTACACGGTCTTAATTTTGCTTATCCTAAAACCTTTAGATTCAAGTGCTTCTCTCCAAACCTCCAACTTAGTGTTTGCTCCTTCTCGTCTCATCTACTAACAAGTTATCATCTACAAAAAGCATATACCATGGCACATCATCTTGAATATTTCTCGGCAACTTATCCATAACTAAAACAAAAAGATAAGAACTTACGGCTGATCCTTGGCGTAATCCTACAGCAATTGAAAATTCAAATGTTTGTCCAGCCGACGATCTAATAGTGGTCACCACACCTTCATACATATCCCTAATCACATCAATATAGCCTTTTGTCACCCATTTCTTCTCTAACACCCACGGAATTATATCTCGAGGCACTTTATCATACGTTTTCTCAAGATCGATAAAAACTATATGAATACCTCTTTTCTTCTCTCTATACTTTTCTATTACTCTCCTCAAAAGATAGATTTCTTCCATTGTTAACCTACCTGGTATAAATCAAATTGATTCTCTAACATCTCTGTTATATCTCGCAATCAACATTCCATCACTTTCTTGCACGCTTTCATTATATGACACATTAGCTTGATTCCTCAATAGTTGTTGCAATTTTAGATATCTCCTTTATTCTTATAGATTGGCGCTAAAATACGCTTCCTTCACTCCTCTGTTTTTTTCCTAGCCAACAAAAGCTTGCTAAATAGCCTAGTCAACCAAGCAATCCTCTTCTTACTCAAGCATTTCCAAGCTTCAATAGGGATATTATCGGCTCCTAAAGCCTTATTTGATTTCATCTTCTTGAGTACAATCTTTACTTCAAAGTTTCTTATCCTGCGATAGAACCTGTAGTCTTGGTCTTCCTTATTACCGGTAACTTCCTTCCCTTTTGAGCTTCCTACATATTCCTCATTTAATAGCTTCTCAAAATAATTCTTCTATATCTCCTTAATCTCTTCATGTTTCACTAACACATTAGAATTCTCACTCTTGATGCACTTAACTTGATTAAAATCTCTTGTTTTCTTCTCCCTTATCTTAGCAAGTTTATAGATTCTCTTCCCTCCCTCCTTACTATCTAGTATAGTGTATAGGTCGTCATAGCCTTTCAACTTAACATCTCTCACTACTTTTTTGACCTCATTGTCTGCTAATCTATAACTCTTAATGTTTTTCTCATATCTAAAAATTGAAAAATTATTCCATGTCACAAATCAATCTCTGGACCATCCATTTGTGTGGGTCTGACATAAATGGACGGCAAATCGATTTGTGGCAAGGCCAAGTCAATGCCACATGTGGCAGTGAATAATTGCTCCCAAAAGCTCTAAGTTGATGATAATGAGTTCAAAAGTCAGGAATGATAACAGGTACCAAACGGATGTATGAAATTATCAAAAGAGGGAAAGAAAGTAGTTAGGACTTCTCTCACTTTCTTCTACTCAAGACACACAAACAACTGTGTCCATAAGGAAACTCCATAATCAAGACTGAAAATAGAGTTGCAGGACGTGAAAATGAAACAAGATAGTATCAATTGTTGTAATAACAGAAATTAATAAGCATATACTCACTTTCCACATTCAATTCAATGACCTTGTAACTTGCACCTAGCTGGGAGAGCAGTTTCTTGACCTGGTTGCAATATCCACAGTAAGTTTTACTGCAAAAAGAAGAATATCAGCTGAAGTCAATCATCTGAAACTTCCACAGGAACACAGAATTAGACATAACAACATCGAAGTAGCACAATGCAGATTAATTAAAAAGAAAGAAATTGATTAGTAAGGAAGGAGTATAGAATTGAGGGTTATAAGCCATGTTCGAGATTTCTGTGGAAATTAAAACCAACTAGGTCAAGGAATCACATATAAAAAGCACTGCACCAATGCTAGGGACCCCAAAAAAATTACTAAATATTCTACACAATACTCACATGGGTGAGGGACCCACAGCTATGTGAGTATTGTGTAGAACAATATTTGGTAATTTTTGTGAGGTCTCTAGCATTTTTGCAGCACCAAAAGGACCATAAAGCAAAACAAAATTGATTGGCTGTGTTACAGAAACTAACTCATAAACTTGAGAACAGTTCTGACAACCATCAATAACTACCAACCTCTATGCACTTTTTGAAGGACACAGGATCCTTTATCCAACAATCTGTCCCTTTGTCCTTGATGCACTTTCAACTACACGATCATGCCTCCAGATTCTCGTTTCAAGATTTTCACCACACCGTGTGGTTGAGAGTGCACGGGAACAAGAGTGTTAAGATAGTGGCTCTCTAACCCTTTTAATGTTTATTAGTAGGGTTATGCTAATGACAGCCCAATGGGCTAGCAACAAGGGAAAGAAAATGCCAAAAGAGTTACAATATCAATGTATTTTTTTTACATATCTCAAAGCATTTTCATACATTTCAATACACTCCTTACACATCTACTGAGGGTATAGGAACCCAAAAGGCTGTCATTAACATTTTCCTTAAGAATATGCACTGCAACTGCAAGCGTGGCCTTTTACTAGTATAGGAGAAAACACAGCACTTAAGAGATAATAGAACTGGTAGACAAGGAGACAAATTTGACCTAAACAAGTCCAGTTTGCAGATTTGATCTCTGAAACCTATGGCAGAGCAAACATATAAACAAAATTAACATTTTCTACAATCCTAAGGAAATTGTTATCCGGTGATCCATAATAATGAATACTAAGAAATATTCAGGAGATAGAACATAAATTGCTGCAGAGTAAGGAGATCATAATTTCCCAAGGAACCATACCAAAATATATGACTACGATGAGATGTGAAAATATGATCTAATACTTGGATCTATGTTTGAGAAGGAAAGAAAAAGAGAAGGGAAAAGTAACAAAATTTTAACTTGTGTTCCATTCATATCTCGCTTTACTTTTTCCTTTCCCTTTACAAATCCCTCCCTAAATCCATAAGATCCAAACGCAACCTAAAAGACCAAAAATAAATAAATTACAAATCAACAGGTCATAGTCCATGCACAATAAAAATTGTATTCACAAGTAGGTACACCACTTAAGTCCATACATAGAAAAAGGGAAATTTTGAAAACCTAGAAATTTACTATCAAAATGTCATAAAAATGGCATAAAATGTTATAAATTTAACATGTTCCGATTGTCACCAAATGAGAAGGAAAACGGCTTTATACCTTTCGTAACTATGATTCATAACAAATAATCACAATGATTCCTATTTTTTTCCATTACAATTATTCATAACATTTTCCGGTTCATAACAAAAACACAACCATCATTCATAACTAAATTTTTTTATTATAGTGCACTTTTTCATAACATAATTATAACAATAATGATACGCAATTAAAACTTTTCTTATGGCGCACACTTTTGTAACACAATCATAATTGTTTGTAATTAAAACCACAAAAAGCTTGTAATTTTTTTTTTCCCTTCGAATATTTATTCAAACACGAGGCAATACGAGCATGGAGAAGAAAGAGTTGATTCTATTGATAAACAAAGGTAACAGCTAGCAAAGTGGCAAAATAAAAGTAAGGAGAAGTAGTTAAGATTATTTGGTGAAGTGTTTAAATGTAATATATAAGGGGTTCATTTAAAAGGTTATTTACACGGAACATATCGCTTCGATTCCTAAATTTTAAATTATAAAAACGTACAAATAGATCCTGAACTAGATCCTAAACTAAACTAGATCCTAAACTATTGGCTCTTAAACTATAAAATCGTACAAATATATCCTAAATTATAAAAGTATATAAATGGAGCCTAAACTATTGACAAATATCATTTTACCCCTTCCGTTATGGTCCAATTTGTTTTATAGTTTAGGGGTAGAGTTATACTTTTCAAATAGTTAGGAAAGAAGTCCATTTATACACTTTATGGAGTCGAATGATATTTTGTTTAGGGGTCTAAATAACCCTAATTTAAATGAATTGATGGATATTAATACTGAATTGAACCGCAAAAAAAAAAAAAAAATTGGTTTCAAAATTGTTGAATACTGAATTGAAGTAAAGAATGAGAGAGAGAGAGAGAGAGAACCTGAAGACGACGACAGGGGAAGAGGTAACGATCTCCTTGACCTTGGAAAGAGCCGTTTCTTTTTCTTCTTTGCTCTTTGAACTCGAACCGAACGCTGATCCCATTGCTCTCCGCTATTTCTTCTACCAGACTATTGTAGAGAGAGAGAGCCAAATGAATATCAAGGGAACAATTGTTGAAGGAAGACGACGCATTGTTATTATCTATTAAGGTCGTCAACTCTCGATTGATAACGCTAAGTTGGTCTAAGTCGTGAAAAGTGAAAAAGTTTTTTTTGAAAATTTGAAAGTTAGAAAATTATTACTATTTATTAAAAATTAAAAATTATGAATATATAATTTTTAATTTTAATTTTTTTTACACATTAATTTATATAATTTTTTAATATATATTTTTTTTATAAAAAGTTAAAAAATTAACACAAATATTCATATTTTTTTTTAATTTTTTAATTTAAAAAAACAAAAAATACTCTTATTTAGGACACTCCAAATAAATAATACAAAAATTAATTTTAATTTAAAATAATAATATAAAATTTATGGAGAATTTACAACCACGTCATATCTTAGGTCTAGTTTGGGAAGACTAAATAAGTGCACTTTTTGACTTTTTATGAAATATGGGTTGGGTTTGGGTTGAGTTTGAAGTGATGTGTTAGAGAGGTGATGTGACTTAAATAAGATGATGTGACTTAAATAGGATAGTGACTTTTTGACTTTTTATCTTTTTTGTCTCATGCCAAACTTGGCCTTATTTTGATAAATAATGGTAGTTTAGAACCCTATTTACACCTCCTTAAAAAAAAAAAAACCTATTTACAAAATTTTAAATTCACGAGTCTTCGGTTAATGTTATATAACCAAGCTATCCTCATAAATTCAAAAATACAAAGCACTCCTTGATTTCTTTATTTTTTTCATTCCACTATCTCTCTTCACAAATGTTAGATTTCTTTACTATTTTTGTTCCTCTCCCTCTTTACAAATTCTAGAGCAACAAAGTTAGAAGGCCATCTACTATCATCAAAAATTGATTTAGTTGGAATATTCTTAGATTCGAAGAAGCGAAATGGTAAAAACAAGTAAGAGCTCTCATTGTATGTGGTCTTTGACGAGCTCTTGAAGATTACTTCAATTCCCAATACCCAGAGGATTGCAAAACTGTGATCGACGACGATGTAGATCGACTCCACGATTCGACCTATTCTATAGATACAAACCTAAGAGAAAAGATCTTAACGGTTTCAAATATCGACAGTTTGAAAACTTTTCGCAGCGCTGCTATTACAGATCAAAAGACCTGTTTCGATGCTGTGATGGAAGTGAATTCAACTTTTCATATTTGAAGAAGTGAAATAGTGAAAACACATAAGATTCAAATATCTTAAGGAATCTTTTCAGTTTTGAAACTCTTATTTTTTATTTTGATTTCAATTTCAACATTAATTTTGGTATCCTTGTCGCGAATCTTTTCAAATTTAGAGTTCATGAGAATAAAATCTCCTATTTAATCTCATGTTCTGTTGTTGTTTTTTTTTTTTTTTTTTTTTACCCTCAGTTAGCAAAACAACTATCTAGAATATTGTTGTGCAAAACTGATAATGTTTTTAATTTTAAAACTAGAAAAAAAACTAATCTGTGTGTTTGGTTTGAGTTTTCTGGATTAAGTTTTTTGAAAATTGAGTTTTTTAGTTTTCGTATTTTTTCGTTTTTAGTGAATATTTTTAAAATTTTAAACATTTTTTTTACTTTTTTAGATGCACCTTGCTTAGATGTATCTAAAAAGTAAAAATTTGTAAAAAAATATTTTAAAAAATTAATAAATACATAAAAATATAAAAAATATACTGAATTCTTGTATTTTTTTTGTATTTTTGGTATTTAGTGAATTTTTAAAAGTTTTTTTTACAATTTTTTTACTTTTTAGATGTATTTATGTTAGGTGTATCTAAAAAGTAAAAAAAAAAAATTGCTTAAATTATTAAAAAAAATTCAGTAAAAACAAAAAAAAATACGAAAAATAAGAAAGTAGAATTTTCTGAAAAGTATTTTTTGAAAAATGGAAACAAACAATAATGTTCTCAATTTTACTGAATAGTTGAATCAAACCAAAAGATAGAAGGGTAAACAAGTCATTGTATATCAAAATAGGATTTATTGGTTCAAAAAATCTTAGGCAAGACCTGAGCTACCACAGTATTTGTGAATAGGATTTTTATTCTGATGTCATTAATTGTGTGTTATAAGTTCTTAACAAAAAAAATTGCATGTCATAATTTAATTGATAAAAATTGAAGAAAAAATTACAAAAATTATATTTACAATAAAATATAAATACATTTCGTTTTATAAATTTTGTAATTTTAATTTAGCATATGATAGTAGTAAATTACATTTGTTAATATATTAATTTTTTCTTATTTAGTAAAACCTAAAAATTTGTCTACTCAAAATTATAAATTATTTTATGTCATAACTTTTTTGTAAAAATGAATTAGGATTTACTTATGGTATTCGACTAAATATTAGAAGTGAATTAGATGTCAGTCGACTCAATATTTATGCTAAGATGGCATTCACATAATTATTAAAAATTGTCCTAATCATTAAAATTTTCTTTATCAATTCGTGATTGGTATGAGCTAGTTTGGGGTTTTAATATTGGATTAAATATTAAAAATGAGCCTAGAAAATCTAATTCGAGTTGATTTTTTTTCAACAATTCTTGGTTTAAGCCTATGATACATCATATTTTAATAACTCAATATCATTAAAAAAAAAAAAAAAGATATCTTAATGTTTATGGTGCTTTTTATTAATCAATAAAAAATATTTATAAATATTAAAAGAATTACATTTGAACAAATTCTAATATAAAATTGTTACTTTAAGACTTTAAAACCTACACATTTTCTTTCACTCTCACTAATATTGAAGAAAGCAATTTGTGGAAGGTAAAATTCTTCTCCATAGGGAAAGTGAGAGGATGTGTCCTTTCCTTTACTCTACCAAGAGAAACCAAAAGCGTCAATAATCACCCCCTCCAAGAGTGGTTAGGAGGACCCTCCAATGGTCAAGTCAGAATACTGTTTGGCCTTAGTGAATTTATATTTAAATGAAGATTCTTGGATTACCTTTGCTCTACCTTTCTTACTTTACCTACATCACCTTTTATAGTATTCTTGACTTAAATCCCATCTGTTGGATTCAATGTTTGATCCAAGGGTTTTGCCCGTTTCTAGGTCTGGTTGGGCAAGTGGCCATGTTGCTTTTATCTTTAATCGTTGGATCATCCTCTCTTGGACGACCTAGATTGTGTCAGATGTTAGTAAGCAACTTGCCAAGTGCTATGTTTGTCAAATCAAGTTGATCGGACGGTTGTGTCATTTAGTAGGCCTATCATATGTCTCTGTATTTGTTATTTGATGTCTTCAATGTTAGATGAAGTTGAATCCGACGATCCTCCAACCTTTTGCTGATCTCCATGTAGAAAGAGATCTTGCTTCTCATGTGCTCAATCACGTGCCATTGTCCCGCCAGTTGTCTCTAATAGGCACCTTAGTAATCCGTCTGGGCCTTTTCCTTTGGGCCGTTTTGCCTGATTACTTTTGGACTTGAGCTAACTCTATCCCATGGGGAGGTGAGGGATAGAAATGGACGGATTACACCAACCTACTAATTAGCTAATTAAATGACGAAATTGACCCCTCAAGTATATGACATTTCTTTCTTTTATTTTTTGAACTTGTTGGTTTTTTAAACATGTATAAATTAATCTTGTGATATATAATTGTTTTCTTTTATTTTTTTGGTATTAGCAAAATAATGAAAGGAAATATACTTTCAATATTTAAAAGGAAAATAATTTATAACATATTTTTTCTTCATTTAAAAAAAAATTAAATATGTTGATTTGTTTTTTAAACATATATAAATTAATCTCGTGATATATAATAGTCTTTTCTTTCTTCTTCTTCTTTTTTTTTTTTTGTATTAACAAAATTATAAATAGAAATATACATCTAATATCGCAGTTAAATAAAATTAATAGTGGTCTTACTAAAATAAAATTAAATATACTTTAAATTTAGCATTGCCATTGTAAACAATTCAAAAAGACAAAATGTTCTTTTGAGAAGTTATCATTTTTCATAATTTTTTAATTAAACATGAGATTCACTAAAATAGTCATTTTCAAACATTTAATTCCATGACAAAATAAACATGGGATACACATCATTTTCAGTCAAATAATCCCAGGGCTATTTATTCTGGACTAATAGTTTGTTGTATTCCAATCCTCCCTTATCTAATCCGCTCAAACAAACATGACCTTAATAGCTTTGAAAAATTATTATGTGCTTTTGATGTAATGCTCTACACCAATTATCAATTAACACATAACACGATGTCACAAAATATTAATTTTTTTTTAAAAGTAATGATATACAAACATAAAATCAATACAAAAAACTTATAAATAATGATTTGGTTTGGATTTTGATCTATTACTTTATAATAAATGATATGCTTTTTTTTATACAAATGACACTATCACGTAATTTTAGTGTAAATTTTTGTATAAAAATTCTAGTGAAATAATATTAACCAACAAAAAATAGTTATAAACAAACAACAGGTAATGGTTGATAGAGAGGAGGGATAAATGATATAGAAAATCTGTAATGCAAAAACAAAAAAAATGATTAGAGATAATACAAAAAAGAAAATAAAAATGGTGTACCTAAAGGATAAAGGTGTTCGTTTAAAGAATGCAAGAGATTAAATATAAAATAATCACCAAATTGTCTCACAAAGAAAATGTGAAAATAATAAGTTTCATCATTGCATAAATGCAATATTTATAGGTTAAGCAAGACATGAATGGCTTGGAGAAGATGTAATGTATGACGGTTAGGGTTTTTGAGAAAGGTTCTAAATGCACCCCCAAAATTATAAGTTGGGCACCCTATTGAACACCCCCAATATAAATTTATAGAAGGTTGTTATTAGCACCTACCTAATATTTTTGGATCTTCTATTTCTTTGAACCCCCATCCAACTAAATGAGTCCCCTCTATTTTATCTTTGAATCCCCACCTTAATTACACCTATACCTTTTTTCTTTTAGACCAAACTTTTTTTCACTCTTTTTTTTTTTGCCAGCAGCCCTTGTCGCTGACACCTTCCACTCATCGAC